GTGTTTGGAGCTGCGGGGCGAGCTGCACCAGGCGGTGTCGTGGTTAAACTGGTCGTCCAGCATCACAATAAAGCTCCAGTCAGGACAGAATACTGATGAGGATGAAGGACACGCCTCTTCCTCCACCCCCACTGCACTCTTCTCTCTTTTCTCCTCCTTTCTCTCAAAAGTCCTCTTCTGTATTTTCACAAATCTTCATCCTTTCTAATCCCTCTTACCTTCCCTTACTGCTTTTCCTCCTTCTTTTCTCCTGCTCTAACTTTCTGTTCCTTCTTCACTTCTCTCTTCCCATTACATTGTCCCTCATGTATTTACTTCTTCCTTCCTCTCCATTCTTTTTTCTCCCACTATCCTCTTATCCATCCCATCATCTCTCTTGCTGTCTCCCTGTCTCTCCGGTCCTCCAGTCGTTGATTAAATGGTAGCATGGCGGTTGGTTAGGGATCAGTTCTGCAGTGTGCGGGCGGCGAGGACGAGGCAGTATATTAACGAGGATCCCGCCGTTAACGAGCCATTTTTTAAAGCTCTCATAAAAAAAAAAAAGAGAAAAAAGAAGAAGAAGCAGAAGAAGAAGCCTCTCCAGCAGGCTGCTGCCATGACAGGACACAGACAGTGTGTGTGTGCGGGTGTAGGCGTGTCTGTGTGTCACTGTTGACGACCTTGGCAGAACAGTAATGGGTTTAGTTTCTATCTCAGCCCTCAGGGTCTCGGCTTATCAACTCCTGACTGTCACATTGCAACGCCATGTTAGACTGTATATCTGTAAAGAACTCCACCTGTATCTGTGCATCGCTGAAGAGCTCCAGCTTTGTGTATGCATCAGTGCAAAACTCCAGCTACGTATATGTAGCTCTACTCTGGATGTTTCTGTGAGATTCCAGAAAACTTCAGATAGAACTACAAAGATCAGGAACCCTAAGTTTTTGTCTACAAATTTCTAGATTATTCCATTTCTGTCTACAAATCTGCAGGTCTTTAAAACTCAAGATGCATCTTAGGAGTTCTAGATTACAAGATGTGTCTCTGCACATCTCTAAAAAATGCTACATTCCTCCAGAAAACTCTGGAATCTCCCAGATACCAAGGGTTCCAGATGGTTCTACCTATATCCAGAGAACTCATAAAATTTGTAAAATTCTTTTTTTTGTGTGTTTGAACTCTCTGGTTGACATTAGCATATCTACAAATCTCTAAAGAACCACAGGCATGTCTTCAAATCTGCTGAAAATCATATATGTATGATCCAAAGAACTCCAGATGTTTCTACATGTCTCTAGAAAACTCACGGTGTCTATACATTACTAACAAAACTCTGGATGTGTCCTCAAACATGTAAAATAACCCTACATGGTTTTGAATCTTTATGAAGCTCAACATGTCTCAGAAAGACTGTAAACATGTTGACAAATCTCAGAAACATCTGGAGTACATGTATCAATGCAACATTTCAATGTGTCTGTATTTCTGTGAAACTCAAGATGTCTACATATTTTGGGACAGTATCCCCATTCAGGATGTCCTATAATCTCTAGAATACAGATATGTATTCTTGTCTAGATAACCAGAGATTCCTTCAGACAACTGGAGACCTGTTGCACTTGTTGAAAATTTTAGCTATATATATATGGAGAACTCCAAATGTGTCTACAGAAAACCTGATCGTACCTATCTACATGTAAAGATCTTTAGGTACGATCAGTGCAGAACGCCAGTAAGTCTACCAATCTACAGAAAGCCTCTGGAAGTGCTGAAGTGTGTAGTACTGCTTAGCCAACATATTCATAAATCAACATGTGTTGGTGTATCTCTATAGGAGTCCAGATGTGTTTACATATGCCAAGAGAACCTCCAGATGTACTTACAAATCTCTACGGATCTACAGATGTCCTCCACTCTCTCAGACACTCAGGTGTGTTTAGAAATGTCCAAAAGGCTCCACATGTGGTGATGCATTACTACAGAACTCCAGATGTTTTCAACAATATCTCTACAGCCGCAGGTGTTTATCAAATATCGATACATCTCCTTATGTGTTTCTCCACAAGACCAAATATGTTTGTGTAATTCAAAAGGTGTCTCGATGTGTTTACAAATCACCACAGAACCCCAGGCGTGTTTACAAACGTGTTCTATATTGCTATAAAAAATAAACTTTTTATTGTACATCTGAGAGATGAGAGATCTGATCACTGTAAACATGACCACGCCCGATCCTTTGTCTCTTCTTTTGGACTTTTATGCCCTTCTTGGTCATCTATTTTTCTGCCTCTATACTCTTTCCATGGGCTTTCATTAAAGTTGATGAAATGTCTCTCTATCCAGTGACCCTTTCCTCTGTTTTTCTCTGTATGAGATCCACATCTGACCCTTATCTCCCATCCACCGCCTCTCGCTTCCTCTCTTAAAGAAATCTCAATCAAAGACAACAAGTTAAAAATAACCTCGTTGTGAGTTTCGCCACAAAAACATCCAGCACTGAAGGTTAAGAAACTTTGGTGAGCCAAGTTTTCTCCACTGCTGGTTTTTCCTGTGACTATCATCACATCATGAGGGTAGAACCGTTTTATGAGAGTTATAAAGGATTTATGTCAGCTGCAGGCTGCTGGGCGTGCAGAGAAGGGCCAGCTGTTTAATTCATAAGATGAAACTTGGCTCTGAGTTGGATGTGTTTCATTTATCTCACTTCTGCAGCTCATCGTCTGCAGGGACAGCTAATGAGTCTCTCTCTCTTTCACACACTCACACATATAGTAAAGGCATGGGTATAAGCCATCAAACATTATATCAATCAATATATAAACAAATATAACTACAGTACATGTTAAACACACCAAAGGCTGTGGAGTTACATGTTAGCAGAGTCCTTGGCATTAATATTTCAGGACTTTGCATCCAGATTGAAGCCTAATTATTAGAAAGTGCTTCTTCTAAATCAAAAACATAACTACACTGGTTTCACTAGCATCAGCTCAAACATGCCTGGACGAGAAATTGCAAACAAAACAGCAAAAAAATTAGATTAAAGACATCTCTGTGTGCTTGCTTTAACCCCTCCTTCAGTGTTTAAAAGCACAAAGCCAGATATATCAGCTTTTCAAAAAGTTTGATTTTCCCAGTCATGGGTTTGACTTGGATATTGATCAAGCTGCAGCCTCAAGCACTCAAAAATGAGGCCAGTGTGGAAGTGCCAAAACCTTCCACAGTTTCTCTAGTGGCCACTCGAACTGGCTCCAAAAGAGAGCGAAAGCAAACATGTTTACAACCTGCTACAATCTTCATATTGCTCACCTGTTCAAACAGTAACTGGATTTGAACCTCTGCATGATTGGATGTGTGTCCACTTTGATAGGTGGGCTATTACAGTAAGCAAAATATGATGTAAAAATGTAAGTGCAATACTGTTATTATTTCTCAAGCTATTAATCCTACTTGCTCCTACTTGCAGCACAATGGCTGCTACCGCTACTTCCACTGAAGTTAACAATTTCAGCTACAACTACTAATGCTAAGGCTTAAAATGCCCAAAATGCTACTAATACTGTTGGACACATATGCTCCATCTAGTGATACAGCTAATACTGCTAATATAAGCCTCATATTATGCACCGGCATGTTATTATATATTAATCAAATCTGCTGCCTTAGTGCTCTGTAAATACAGATTACTAAGATTGTTATCGGCGCCTGGTGAGTCATCCTACCTGTCAGGGATCGAGTGACGGCGCTCTCGTACAGAGGGACTCCCTCCCCAGCATTATTGAAAGCCTTCAGGGAAATCACATAGTGTGAGCTTGGCTCTGAGGAGAAGAAAGACGGAGAGAGAGCGAGTCATTTTAAATGGCATCTGCCACAGTACATTATCATGTTAAGATGCAACTGATTGCTTGCTGTCTTCTATGTGTTTCAGCAGGGTCTACTTAAAGGAAGCATCATTAAAAGTAAGCGGGGAAAGGTCAAGACTAGTTTGACAGAAGTGACTCGACATGAACACAAGTCTTTAGCTAAATCCTGCTCAGTGACTGCAACTTTTCTCTAGTTTGACAGTAAACACAGAAAGCTGCACTTTTTCAAGAAGATGCAGGACTTGAAATCTGCAAATGTTACAGCATTTTTAAAATGAGGTGTTAGAGGGGGACTGCCCTGTTATCAGTCGGTATAACTCAAAAGCACAAGATTCAGTAATGAAGTGATGACACATTTGGGCCTAACCTAGAATACCTTAGACGCGCAGTCAGAAGTGTCCTACTGTTCACATGTGGTTTAAATGTCATAAACTGGCTTTGACTAGTTTAAGCAAAGAGTTTGTGGGACAGACGTGGTCCAAATGCCTCATCTGGTCCATATAAGGCAGGTGTGGCTGAACTAAAGAAGCAACAATCAAGGCCAAGTTGGTCATGTAGGTCAAACATTCCTTTCTATTTGGGCCACAAAGTCAACGGTGCAGCGGTGCACCTGCAAGCCAATTGGTAACCCACTTTATCAATGTCATGTTTTTTGTGATGATTGATCCCTGACCTGTTTTATTTTGTGGGTTTTGCTTGTCATGCTTGCTCTCCAACGTTCCACATATGCACATGAAAGGCTGGAGAGCTCTCAGTAGAGAGTCCTGCTGCCAAATATAAATTGCTGCTGGCGTAAATATCAATCTCCCAGTGACAACAGTAGCTCTAACTAAATTATGTTTTATTGAGCTGAGTGGCAGAAGTAAAGAAAATCGTCTCACACATCCTTTGTTGTAAATTTTCAAAGGACTTACAGAATTGTAGGCAGTGGACCAAACCACTATGAGGAATATGAGGGGGATTCAGTTTTAAGAACTTTATTGTTTTGAAGTCATAACTAGCTGTCAGAGCTTTCACTACATATAATTGCATTTTTTTAGATTATTTTGTTCTATTTTTCCCACATATTTTCTGCCCACAGTTCCACTGATGTGACAAATAATTTTGGCAGGGTTAGTGGCCAAGTCAAAGCCTCCTGCTTAGCCACGCCCTTGCCGCAGACATCTGTAATCATCATCATGCAGCGGCTCATCCTGCCACAGCCAGTCACGCGTGATGATGCTGCATGTTCTCACCATGTTGTGCCAAACCTTCGCAGCAGTTAGGCAAACGCGGCGGCTCCACTCCCCAGACGCATGAATTAATGATCGCTATGAATTATAAATACCGTGTACATATGTGCACTCACTCCCACGTGTGCATGCAACACAACGGCCCGATTTTATTTTTCCCATCACTCCTCCATTATGAGACCTGAGATGGGAATTCTCAGCCGCATATAAAATTGGACCCTATTTGTTATTGTCTTCTTTGGCATGCAAATTGGTTGTTGCGCTCACTGGGGAGGATGTTTTCTCTTTTTCGACCTTTCACAATTAGATTTCCACCTCAAGCAGCTTTCTTATTAAATTCTTTTAAATTATTGATCGTAATTAAATGGGGGGATTTCATCTTCATAATGAATTAATGGAAGAGGCAAACGCTGTGTGTCAATATTGGCACGCTGTCAGCAGGAGCAGCTGGATTTATGAAGGATGAACTTATTAAGTAGGTGCTGTTGATAAGCATGCTGGAAATGCCATGACATGATGAATTATTTTGGCGCTGATAAGAGGAAGGACAAGAAATTAAAAAGGTTCTGACAATGATGGAAACTATTGGTGATTAATATTCTGCTTATGACTGCAGGTGTTTCTGGCTATGAGGCCTGGTGTTGCATCAGGTGTCCTACAGCTCTGCCAGTTTGCCCTTTAGCCAGACACTGAGTAGATCCAGAATATCCTAAATTCACGGTAAGGCACCTAGCTCCTAAAGGATGAACACTTTGCTGAAATAAGTAAAATTCTGTCCACATTAGTTATTTTACACAGTCTCAGTATCTAAATATCCAAAACCTTTCCCCCAAACTGTGATACTTTGTCCTAATGGCCTTTTTGTGTATGTGTATGTAAAATCACAATCAAATAAGAGCCATTACATTAAGATGGTTCCCACTGGATGTGGATAATCGCATACTCTAAGATGTTCTCTTTGGAAGCAAGGTTGAATTTTAACAAACTTTGACTCTATAGTAAAAATAAGCCAAGCAGCCTCTCAGGATGAAATAAAAAAAAAACAACCACCTCCTTGGTGGTGGTTATCTTCTGGCTCGTTTTGATAAACACAGACTCCAATGTTAAAATGTCCAACTTTACAGCAGAAATTAACATGTATACAGCCTTTTACTGATAACAGTTTTGGTCTTTATGGATAATTTCAGCCTTCATAACAACTGCACAGGGATGAAGTTTTATATCACTCATCCATCTGGATACAGGAGTTAGGAACTTAGTGACTCTGATTGACCGGTCCCAGCACAGAGAGCTATAGACAGTCCAATCTGCTAGCCCACCCCTTACTAATCTGAGGCAGTGAAATGGACCTCTCAATCACCTCTGCAGTCCTGCTTTGAGGTGCAGACTGCCCAAGATGTTTGTGCTTCTGTTTTGGAGGGTGATATTTACGTATTTATTGGTCAGTAACAATTATACGCTTTATGAATATTCATGATTTATCAGCATATGTCACCGTTTTGTTTCAGTACATTGAGCTGTAATGAAAATGCAGAAAAAATTATGTTGATCCATAAGAAATGGTGACCTGTTTTGGCCTCAAATATTAAACATGTTCATTGCTTGCAGTAAATCAGACTTTGAAAGCACAGCTCTTAGTTGGAAGGTCTATTTTGTCTCCTTTTGTTGGCACTAGCTGGCGGGTAATGTAGGCTGAATGTGTCCTGGATGAAAATGGTATCCATTTTCTTAGCAAACTAATGGTGAAGTCACTCCAGCCACTTTCATACCTAGGTTTTCAATGGAGTAGTATCTCTGCTTGCTGTCCACTCTGACCGTCTCAGCATAGGGACTGCCTACTCCATAGCCAATAATGTAACCCCTGACCAGGATGTTAGGGCTGAGCGGTGGAGTCCAGGACATGATGATGCTGTTGGGAAGCGGCCTGACGTGCAGGGAGCTCGGCTGGTCAGGCACCTGACTCTCTGCAAACAAACCAACAATAAAATGTCAGACACAAAGACGATGACAGCGCTGTGGTTTGGGGACATCGGTACATCACTGACCTCTACCACCGCCAATAGTCTTAAAGCTAACCCTGTTAGTGCTCACAGAAGCAGGTACTTAGAGCAGCTGTGGGTAACAAATGCTAACCCTGTTACCCCTAAAAAGACCTGACACTTAGTGTTATTCTTCGAGAACAGATTAGATGAGATTAGAGCACTCTCGGTCCTCGGGGGGAGATGCTTCATATCACTTTATTGAGTGATAATCCATCGAAATAAGATTTGTGTCTCCCTCTGTCCCGGCCCGGAAACACAGTTAGCATGGATGTGTTTGTTGTTTTTATCTCTGCATTATCCTGCTGACCAGAACATCCTGGTGCTGAGCTGGTTATCGTTTTTTAAATTATTCTGCTAAGAGTTATAGGGTCAAAAATCCCCAGAGCTGCTAGCCAGTTTGTTTCTGGTGATTGTTTTTGCTTCTGTCTATAGCCTCGTAATGGCTTTGTAACTCTCGATAACGTAGCTGTAGGCAGATATGAAGACAGTTTTAATGCTTATGAATATACAGTAACCATTATAACTGAGTTATCAGTTTATCTTTAAAGAGTACCTTTTATACTTATGTCCCATCAAAATATACATTCTGGGGCTGAAATGTGTCTCAGATAGTTGATAACCTGAGGGGATGCACCAAGACCCAGTGTAAGATAACAGGGGTCATACAAAGCTGTTCTAGTAATTTAGTCCATGAATAAAAATATAGAACAGGGAATGAGGAGAACAGACTAACTTTAAAGCACTAAATCCTCCACTTATGTCTTTGTTGAGGGTGTTATAGAGTAGCTGCTGACAAACAAATTTGTTCAGTACTACATTATCATTGTTTTGAATGCTAGATAGCAGTCCAAATGGAAGGCTTGGTGACCGTTACATAATTCAGAAGAAAGCAGAGGGAGAAAGAGATGTTTTTTATTTGGACAAATTTAAAAAAAACCTCTCAAATGACATTTTTTATCTACACTCATATGCAAATGTGCAAATTCTTTACATTGTTCATGTACTGCTCATTCATTAGTATTTAAGCTTAAATGAAGCAAATCTTTCTGTTTTCGATATACTTACACATGGACGACTGCTTTTCCTTTTCTTTCCGCTTTATTCCATCTCCTCTCACTTCCCCCCTTCTTGAGCTAAACCTTCCATCAATCCACCCGACACCCTTCTTTAACTGGTTAAATATTTATGCGAGTGTTAGGGAAGTGGAGGTATTTACATCCTGTTATACAGATCACCGCTGTCACACACACATGCACACAAAAACACACACACGCTCTATCAATCTCTGTTTTTACCATCCAGGTCATTCTCTGGTGTCTCAGCGGTGTACCAATCACTGGCCGGGCCTGTCCCATTTGCTGTCATTGCTGCTACCTGGAAACTGTACTGACTGCCCTTCTCTAGACCTGGAAAGAGAAAAAGAGAGAGAAAGCACATCATTATACCTTCATTGTTTTCCTGTTGTATGGCTGCAAAAACACAGGTTTGCTGCTTATAACCGATTCACAATCAACACGGTGTCACAGTCATAAATGGTCATATATGGACCCAGTGCCACTTCAGGACTGAAAAATGAAATACAAAAAATACAATTCCTCAAACGGCCACTTGAGGCTCACTGCCATATCGACTGTGTGGTGAGTGTTGTTTAAATTGAATAACTCCAATATTTGAATTTTTATAAAAGTTGAAAGTTTGCAATTGAATGTCAGCACAGGTAACTGTAGCAGGGAGCTGTGTACTAGTCTTCACCTACGCTAATTCAAAATGCTGAAAGGCTCCACTTGTGGTCTTGGTGCCTTTTTCATAACATTTCTAATGGACCTCTCTGACAGACCTTAAGTCTTATATAGGCTTTCTAGCTTAACTGGCCACTACCCAAGTTTATTTTATGATTCGAGAGCTTTTTCATTCATTTGAGCCAACATTTCAATTTACGACTGGACAGTGCCCTCACCCTTATTTTTAAAATTCAGTTGCTGCTAACCAGCTAGTTCTGCTCTTTCCTGTGTCGAGTGTTGCTACTGGCAGACTGGCCAGGTTGTAGTCTTGCTTGGGAGATCTTCCAAATATCGGTGTCAGTAATGGTCCTGTTAGTGATGGACTCCCAAGTGGACCATTTACCGTGCTGTTGTTGGCTCACACCATAATTGTGCGCTTTCCCTCCATCCACCTTAGTTACTATAAAGATAGCAAGCTCTTTCCTCTCCTTTCTGGTAGCCTTTGGATCGTCTTTTTGGCACTGTAACCCACCCTAAGCCGACAGTGTTGGATTGTATAAGACCAACAATTGCCTAGTGCTTCAGGCAATTTAAGGCCTTGTCTACCATTTGAGTTGCACTTCACTTGCATTCTGTGTGAGCTTTGAGATTGGCAGCTTAAATAGCCAGGTCTGCCGAGTCTCTCAGCTTCAAAAGGAGCCTTACCTTCTCACTTTTGTAGCTCATGGAGCTGGTGTTACCGTTACTGCCGCAGAGGGGAGGAATTGAGCAAGGCTACAAAAAAGTACAACAAATAAAAGCTACCAGAAACCAGAGTGATTAAATCTGTGCTGCTGTCAGATTGTATGATTGGACCACTTAAGCCATCTAGCCTGATATCAGAACACTCAGAGTGTTGCAGTCTATTAAGGAGCCGAGTTCAGAAGTGTTAAATAACTGTGACAATGATGCCCAGTACACACATGGCCAAGTAAACCTAGCATGTCATGCGTACCACAACTATGCAGACATTTGAGAAGACAGTACTCTGAAGAATATTTAATCATTCTCATTCAAAAAAGGAAACAGATTTTTTTTTTTACCTTGAAATTCCCACTGCTTGTTCCACTATGAGGGATAAGCAGTTAAGAAAGTGCATGGTTGGATTTGGGTGCTTAGGTAATACGTGTCATTACATAAATGGAGTAAAATAAAGTTTTAATGTTAGCGTTAAGTATGTTTATTTAATCTGCCGTTCTTTTCACCTCCTCTGAGAAGCTGAGGTTTTTTTTTATTCAAGAAATAATTTTATTAATTTAAATTTGTCTTTTATTATCAGACAATAAAAAGGAGTGATTACTGCTGACGGCCAGGCTTGCAGCAGGCGGATCAGATTCCAAACACGCACACACACAAAAGTAGAGCTGCCACTGGGCAATGAATTCTGATGCGGACAGACAGATGAAGATAACCATCAGTGGAAAATAATGAAAAGGAAGATCAGTTTCATTCAAATCCTGCAAACCTCAAATTGAAATAATAGCTGGTGGCAGTTTGAATGCAGACACACAATCACACACACAGACCCAGACTTGCAGCTGTTTTTCACCAAAGTAAAGAAATAAATTGACAGTTCCACAGACATATTAAAGCACACACACATATCTTTAGGATTTACGTCTTCTTTGTCTCTATTTGAAGATTTACGCATGCCGACTGTCAGACTCGCATCACGTTCAGTGAAAGCAATCTTATGTGTTTTCATTAAATCCCCATATATATATATATATACATATATAAAAGCAGCATCTTGCAGATTTGTACAGCAGTTTTTGTGTAGTTTGGGCCTAACAAGCAGAGTCATTGTAAGAGCAAAGAGTGCAGCTTTAAAAGATTTATTTGGGAGAGAAAATGAGGGCAAATACTAAAGGATGAGTCTGGTGATATATTGTAGTCTCTGAGAGATAACAGCCCCCTGATGAGACTGAATTGATCCTACTAACAAGTACTGTTTGCATGAAAAAAGCCAAGATATTTCTCTTTCTTCTGTGCTCAATTTCCCAACAAATGCTCCTGCTTGAGTGATGTTTTATAAAGCCAACAGCAGATACATCTTTAACCATTTCTCTTTTCCAGACTAAATCAAATCACATGCCAGTTTGAAGACACTTACCAGTGAACAGGTACCAGAAGTTGTTGGGTTCGATGGCTTCCTGGTCTCCACGCCGGCCCGTCTTCCTGTATTTGATCTTGTAAGCTGTGATGATCCCATTCTGGGCACTGCGTGGAGGAGGCTGCCAGGATACTTTGATGCTCTAGAAAAAAAGATAGAAAACAGTAAACAAAGGTGCTAAACATCATCTGACTGGTGATGAGGTTCATAGAGAAAGAGTTGTGGCTCATTAGGGATATGACAGTTTCACTTTGATTTTTATTGTCCTGCAAATGTCTTGCGTGGTTGTCCAGACCCTGGTTATACCAAAGGTTTCGTCCTGTTAAAAGAGAGTTTTTTCTTCCCACTGTGGACAAATACTTATTCAAAGGTGTTCGTTAGATTTGTTTCTGGTTATTGATGGTTTCTCTCTATTATAGTAGGGTCTTTAACTTACAATATAAAGCACCTTGGTGCTTTATAAATAAAACTGAACTGAATCGAATTGGTTCTCTTTATTGTGTCTTGAACCTCTTTGAGGTCATTGTGAGTCTTTTTGAAGCAACTTTTTGCACCTTTGCAGTTGTTTTCCATTGTCATGACCCTGACTCATTAAGAAGGACAAAATATGGAGATCATACAGAAGAAAATGACATAAATCAAACAAGTCCAAACAACTCCACGAGAGCATGAGGCAAGACAGCACAAGAGACACTGATTGCTTTGATGACTGATGCTAAGTGAGCCACTCCCCTAATCCATGGAGCTACAAAAACCTGGCAATGCATCTAGAGTCCTAAGACCCATCAGAATTTGTTCCAGTTATTTAGGTAGTATAGTTATATATTTTGTAGTATGTATTTTTTCTGTTTCTTTAAAATTCTTCTGCATCCCACTGTATCTTTTAGAGGGTTCA